TTTTTTTTTTTTTTTTTAGATTTTCAAAAGCCCAAATATTATGCAAAATTAAGAAAAGGAAGGAAAAGCCAGCATGCTACCGGATCAGACAACACTGAGAGAAAAACCTTCCCTCTGTTACTCTGTTTCTTTGAACAATTTATAAAATGTGAGTCACACATTGTGAGAGTGGGGCCAAATTACGCCTGGAGTGTGCCTTGTTTTCTCCCAGTCTATAGAGGAAGATGAAAAACTACTTAAATAAATACTTTATTTTTAAAATGAGCAACAGAGAAGGAAACAAATACTGGGGCAATTAAATAGCTACATGAGTGACCCAAAGTATAGCGAAGTAAACACTTTGTTAAACCAGAGATACACATGTGACATTTAATACTGGTCTCCTAAAGGATATTAAATGACCCCAAATGTCAGGTTCTCAGACAATCACATATCACAGCTGTCTTTGCAATCACAAATGATACATGTATCCACCCAAGCAACGTTCTGAAAACTACAGAGCAGAAGTATCCCTAATGAGGCAGAAATAAAAAATTGTCAAGATCCTTTCTCATTGCTACAAACTGGCATTGGCATGCTTCCAACCSTGCCAAGTTTTTAGAAATGTTGGACACCCTTCAGGAAGATGAAGCAGCTCTTACCTGAACACAAAGTCAGAACTATCGATTTCAGCACCACAGCTGGAATTTTTCAGAATACCTCCATTTCCAACCACAGCACAGTTCTTGAAGGGATAGACTGAAAGAGGAGAGGACTGCAAASAAATAAAAAAATGCAGACGATTCTTTATAAGTGTTTTGATTGTTTCTTTGTGTCTATTTGCTCTTGCAGGTTTAATCTGATGAATTCCCATAAAAACATTCACCATTTAGCAGACAGGATTGCCAAACCTGGACAGCCAAGAGCCGAAAATAGGCACCAACAGACAAAACTGCTACTTCTACTATCAGAACTTTGAGAGAATAAAACTGGATTGTTAAAACTGGGCACCTTTCAAATACATTTAACACTAAAACTATCTAGTAGTGGATTGAAACCTTGACAGGCTAAAGAAGTAATTTATACTGAAGATAGTTTAAATGTATCCATTTTCCTTTGCACTGTAACAGACTGGGGGTTGTCATATAGTCATTTGCTTTCTCAGATAATAGAAAGTAACTTTGCAAATTCTCCTCACTTGTGTCATCACACAATTACATTCGAAGCAGAACAATGAATTTAGGGGATCCTGAAGATGCTGTAAAGGATAATGATGTGCCCTAGCTTAACTSTGTGAATGCGAGGCCTCACTGACGAGGTTACTGTTTCTGGCAGTTCACTGTCTCCGCTCCTCTTCTTGTTTCAGCTTGCTGTCTTGCAGTTGGAAGCTGTGTGGGAGCTAAGTGCATCCACTTGAGAACCAGCACAGTTCACAACCTAGCAAATGAATGCAAATCGTTGGCTATAATTTAGGTTGACGTTAATATAGCTGGCAGTTATCCCAGACTCAGAAACTTTTCCTTCTGCCGTGGGAGCACTGACATTCATCAGAGGCCAACAGCTGGGATACRGCAAAATTAAACCCGGTTGTAAAAGTGAGTCAAAACTTGATTATGGAAAGCATTATCCTTCCTTCTTCTCTCATCAGCTTGCTTAAAGAGAAGCAGGAAGAGATACTRTTGAACAAGGGGAAAAGTGTGGGGAAAGTGGCAAACTTCATATTGCCTGGCAATATACTACAAAATAACATGTTCAAATACTTTGTTCAGTTCTGAAAGGACAGTAGGAGAACACACACAGAAGGCCAGACAGTTCTGGATAGCTTAGAATGCATATGTGCACATGAAACATGCTATTTTTTTCTCTCTTCAGTTTAAATTTGGAACCACTACATCCTCTATTACAATGAAGTCAATAAAGACACATTCACAGCAGCATTAGGAAGAACTAGAGTCATGCTAGCTAGGATCTCACAAATGCCAGGGATGGGTAAGAGGGCTCCCATWTGCTCTTAGTTTCAACAAACCAAATACAACTTCTCTGTCTCATCTCAAAATCTTGTATTCTATTGTAATCCTAAAATATAAAATTTGATTCCTTCTGTGTTTCTGGCTGCAAACACCCTGCCCCAGTGGGTAACAAAGCTGGTGAAAGGGCTGGGAGGAATGTCCTATGAAAAGTGGCTGAGGACTTTGGACTTGTATAGTTTGGACAACAGATGGGGTGACATTGCTCTCTAAAGCTTCCTGAGGAAGGGAAGTGGAGAGGAAGGTGCTGATCTTGTCTCCCTTGTATCCAGTAACAGGACACATCAGAATGCTTCAAAGCTGTGCCAGTGGAGGTTTAGACTGGACATTAGGAAACATTTCTTTACCAAGAGGATGGTCAATTGCTAGAACAGGCTTCCTAGAGAGGTGGTTGATGTCCRCAGCCTGTCAGTGTTTGAGAGSCATTCASACAATCCCTAATAACATGGGGATTATCTTTATCTTGGTCAGCTCTGAATTGGTCAGGCAGTTGGACTAGATGATCACTGTGGGTCCCTTCCAACTGAAATGACTCTGTTGTATTCTATTCTGTTCTGTGCTATTCTGTATCAGGTTTACCAACAAAATAGCTTTCATAAATTACATACCCAAGCCTTCACTGGAAAAGGCATGGGTATATGAGGAATATGAATTGTTCTTCCAGACTGAAATGCCTTAAAGAACAGGAATGATAAAAGCAAGGCAAACATTATCAGAGTATTTTCTCTTGAATTCAGCTGGCTGCCAAGCCAGACACTGCTTGTGTTCTGTAGCAACTGTACCTCCAATGTATGATCTATTATCCCCTGTAAATGCGTCTACCACTACAGAGGAAAGCTAAAAAAAAAATAACCACCTTGCAAGGTGAATAAAGAAGTGCATAAAGTGCATACAAGACCTGATGGGTCTTTTCCAGAGGAATCAAAGCATCTCAATTACTATCCCAAAATATATAAATGACACTGTGATTATAATAACAAGTAAAAACACAGTTCTTACCACAGGCAGCATCTTAAAAATGTCCTCTGTAATGAGGATAGTCTTTTTACTGTCCACTTCATAACTCATGTTACTTCCCAGTGGGCTGTTGTTTTGAGAAGCAATAAAATTGTGAACTGCATCACAGCAGGAGGCTAATTCTGACCTGCAAAAAACCCCAAACAAACAAAACCGGCTCAAAACCAGGCAAATAAGTAGGAAATCAGTGCTAGAGAACCAGATCAATGAAAAAGTTTGAATTAACTAGCAACAAAAAGCTATACTAACATTTTGTGATGTCATTTGCTCTGACTTTCTTGGCTAAGCAAGTCCATTTTCACAGCAAATGTTCAGAAACTAATTAGACCAAGAACTGATAACTGTTTTTATCTCTTGGTCTTCTTTTCCCACTGAGAAAAAGTTGTAATCAATCTCTTCAGTATTATTAATTACTAAGATTAATATAGAAACACAGAGACTTCAGTAGCCAAAGAATTAAAAATGTGATTTTCATCAACATAGAACAAGTGTTTGTAAGAAACAAGAAGGCTGAAGGAGGGAAAAAACAAGGAAATTAATGARATGGTGATGGAAGGTACTGGCAATGCTACTTAGGGAATAACTAGATGGCTACAAACAAATTAATTAATAATTAATTTCTGCAACTGTTCATCACAGTTTTCCTGTTCACAGTATCATAGGTGTTAAATAAATTACATCACAACTTCCACATAAAGAAGAAAGATACCTCTGTGGTAGAGACAGTCTAGAGGCTCCCTAAAATACCTAGCAGAAGTCCTTAATAAATAAAAATGAGAGGGATTCACTCAAACCATTTGAGGGAAAGAAGACTATCACTCGTCTTACAATTCCTGTTACCTCCAAACTTACAAAAATATTATGTGTGCTAACATTCTACATTATTAACAGTGAAATGAAATGAAAATCCCCACCAGACCTTTGAAATCGAACTCAAAACGCTATTATTCATTTTGCTTTAGGCCACAACGTCCTCTCTGCTGCCATGGGATCTGATTTTCAGGCTGTAAGGCTGAAATATTCATGGCCAGACATTATGTATCAATTGTTAGGACATAGCTTTCTGATTAGGTGCGATACTAAGAGAACTACAAACTATTTAGAGAAGAAAATACATTTATAACAGAATTGCCCAGAATTTTGAAAATACCACAGTGAAGGTTAATTGTAAAGAAAAACAAAATTACAGTTAGAGTCAGAAATAGAAAAGTTTTATTTAAAACTGTTTTCAATGCGTGAAGTAAAACAAAGTGTTGAAACTAGTTAAATATTAGAGGCCAAATTCTGCCKGAAGGTGAGCTGACTTTAGTGAGGTAAGGCACACCTTCATTTCACTTTATCAACAACGTAAACACAGAAAATACAAGGACAACAATAATAAAAATACTAAAAATACTTATAAATATTAATAATAAAATATTATAAATAATTATTATTTCCTTCCTGATGGAACTGAAGCATCTAGCACATGAAAGAAGCCAAAGATTATGTTTCCTGGAAGACAGGGAAGAGGATGAACAAGTCTGGGATAGCTCTCAATCTCACTTCTCTTGAAAAAAATGGTCAAAATGGGAGGAGGGGGACATAAAAAAAGCTTGGGAAGGTCCGTTTAATTCATACATAAAATACCAATGGAAAGAAAGAGCACCATTTCAGTTGTCAGACAACTTACTGGCATATATTAACCCATTTTGAATACTGAGTTCTAAAACTCCTGCAAGACAAATTTTCCAGATGTATGAGGAACACTGGGAATGACTGTGTGCTGGGATGGCACAGACCTGAAATAACTGTACTCAAAGAGTAACCAGGAAATGTCATTCCTGGGAGATGAACCAGTAGGGTTCAGATTTCCATAAACTCATTCAACTCCCTAAACATGGTGATTCCCACTGCCCTGCCAAAGCYTTAAGGTGCAGGGAAGATCTGTGGTCAAGGAAAACCTCTAGGTCCAAGGGTGGGGWCCTGTCACAGCAGGGCAGGTCTCCAGGTGTGTCCATCCTGTCCCCAGGGAGGTGCCCATGCCTGGGCTAGGGCTGCCCCATTCCTGGCTAGAAGTGGGATSAGCCCAGCCAGTTTCTGCTCTGCTGGCCAGGTTACTGTGTTGGGATCCCAYACCCTGACCCTCAGGAAGCAGCTGTCCTTCACTGCTCCCTGACACTCACATGGAAATGAGAAATCACATAACCCATAGTTCAGTTTTTCCTTTTTTTTTTTCCCTTGAAGCTAAATGAAGCAGGCCTAAATATTATCTGTGCCAACCACTGGACATATTCTTGCCAGCTGCAGTAAAAGAGCTCTTTTGTATGTAATGGTTACCACACCCTGAAAAGCCAAACTGATAACAGATCCCATTCATTAACAGAGATGACATGTTTTTGCTTTTTATTACTCATTCTACAAGAATAAGTGCTTCAATAAAATCAGAAGCAGCGTGGAAGGAAAACAGGTTGCAGAATTAATAAGAAAGTAATGGTTTAAATTAATATTATGGATCCACTGAGGAAGTAAAACAGAGCCAAGCAACTCCAGAAACACAGTAAGAATAAGAAAATATATACTGAGAAATGACAAATATTCTTAGAGCATMCATGCTAAAAATTTGGTGGTAACAATAGAAACCTTTTACTTAGATCAAATCATGACACACAATCCCACTGTGCCCAAGCATCCCTGTACAGAGCTGAGGCGGGAATGCATGTAACCTGCAGACAGCAGTACCCAAGGCAGTGTATTCAGCAATCTGTTCACACAGGATTTTGTACAAGCTGTTACACGTGGTAATCTACAACTGACAGCAAACRATGAGGAAGGGGTAGAAACTGGGTAGTTCAAGCGATCTATTACTGCAATTTCATCAGAGTATTAATATAATTCATATGTGGTCTGTCAGGAGGTGATGACTCACTAAAGAGCATTTATTTCATACGATTAACACTTATCCTACAAGCCAATCCTTTTAACAAGTGCTGTATGTGAGGAGTTGCAAAACCAAGACATTTCATCATGCCTCGGGGAGAGGGAAACTTAAAATCTACCACACAAAGAAATTCCTAAAAAGATGGTGGGATAAAAAACAGAGGTCAAAATCTTAACAGCACAAAACAGTAGTAACTTAAAGCCAAACTCCAAAACTCTGCTTTATTTATTTATTTATTTATTTAAAATTTTCTTTTGAAGAATAGAAGGTGATTCACGTTGTCTGTTCTGAGTGGGAGAAAACCTTGAGATATGGAAGCAGCTCTTGGAAGATAGGATGTCACTATACACCTCATACCTTTCAAAACCTGAATGCAGCTTACARTAAGAAGGTTTAAGTTCCAGCTTTTAACAGTGACTGGGGGGTTGCCCTAGAACAAAGGATGTTTATGATCCAGTCACAGCATCACAAGTCCAGACTGAAGGTGATGTTTGAGTCAAAGCACCCAAGTTTTGTAGGGCCCTAGTTTTGGAAAATATCGCCTCTGTAGTAGAGATTATTACTGACAGTTTCTTATTTGGAGAAGCCTTTTCCTGCAACATTTCTCCTGCAGGGATTTGGAAGCTGAGTGATATTGAAGGGCTATTTTTAAATCCTGAGGCATAACTCCAAACACAGATATTTCTTATGCCAAGATAAGCAGAAAGAGTTGATTGTATTATCTAGAAAAGTTACTTGTAACAAGTGAGGAACAAAATCAGAAGCTGGAAAAAGGCTACACTATTTTGACTGGTAATAGATATYTCATAGGACTGAGTAAGTACAGTCATGATAATCCTAGTCAATAACCTAAGGGGGGGGGGGGGGGGGGGGTGTGTGTGTGCTGCATTTGTCTGGGAAGTCTTGACTGTATTAGACAATACAGAATTATACACAGTTGCACMAAAGAATGTTTTTTGTTGCTCAGCATACACTTTCACCTAATTTTTCCCTTTGTGGCTGAAAGATTCAGGACCCAAGTTTGTATTGACRTTCAGCTGGTAGAGACTTTTGAGCCCGTGTGGCATTCAAATTTCTTCAGGTTTGTGGCCATGGAGACCTTAAGAAAATCCTGGTTTCTTGGAGCAAGTTACCAAAATATTGAGACAAGCCAAATAATGTTATTTTCCAGGTGCTATGCAGCTTGTCCATGCTGAACTGTGGGCAGTAACAGAGAGCTTTTGCCTTGCTTACAGATGTTTCCAAACTCTTCTGCATAACGAATACTTCACATGCCTAATCCACTCTCTTTAGTGGAATACACAGGCTCTAAATATGCTGATGTAGTTTCTTCCCAGCTCATGCAGTTGCTCTGTAGCCAAGATATCGTATSCCTCAAAATTAGCTCAGCTTGGTTCTGTGCTAGTATGAATATATGCATTTTAGCTGATTCAGGCCCTGTGTACAGGCTGCATGCTCCTGCTGACAGGTCACAGTGTGCACACATCGTGATCATACTGCAAACATCTCACCATCTTCAACAACTCAATGTGGACTAACCATAAGGGCTAAAACAATCAGGTTAGCAAACTCACAGCTGGTTCAAAAGCCAGCACCACCCTTACTTTGAATGAAATGGGAAGAATCTGTACTGAAGATGAAATTTCATTGTCTTCATGTAAAAAGCTTCTGCAGAGTTTAAAAACTTCCCATTCCTCCAAACTTTTTCCATTAAAAATGCTTAGCTAAAGCAATTTTGATTTATATGTTTTAAAATACTTCAGTCAGATACATTTTTGGTGTGAAAAGGCAATTGCTTCTGCACCCAGACTTTACACAGCATTACTTTGGTACATAAGAAAGAGAGTATACCRCTGGAATTGGTACACTCCAGTCTACAGCTGGACCACTGGGCCAACACAGTTAACTGGAATCCTCAGAGGATTGCAGTGCCCCAGGTAAGCCTACAGAGTCTGACAAAACTGTGATTATTTGTATTTCTTTTGTAGACTACTTCAGTATGACACTAGTGCCTGTGGCCTAAGGGCATTTGTCATTGCTGAGAACAGTGTGAAATATTTCAGTTGTTTTACACTGGACTAAACTGGGATGGGAGGAGGAGAAAAATGGATGGATAAGGACACTGCAGAAGTATCAAAATATTCAAAACATTCAGAATAGTAGATGCTCAACTGTCCTTTAAGGCCATGGTGGGAAGGGTGAGGAAA